AAGTCCCCTGTACCTTCCGAAATAGCCGAGTCCGAAAAATCTGTATCTCCTGTAACATCCGAACTTTCTAAATCGCCAATCCCTTCAGATAAAGCTGTTTCAGAAAAATCCTCCCTGTCCCCTGTTACATCGGAACCTGCTAAATCTCCTGTACCATCTGAAATAACCGATTCAGGAAAATCATCCAAGTCACCTACAACACCTGCTAAAAAATGTGAGAAGTTTAATGACGGTGAAATTTGTCCCTCTGATCTCAAACTAATTGACTCAAGCGCAGCTTTTGAATCTGAGAAGGTCTCAACTGAATTTATTAAGGTATCTCATTTGACAACTGATATTGAATACCCTGCTGCTCATGATTCGACGACTATTACTGAAGCTGTAGAATACCATGTCGCTGCACTTGATGATAGCAGTGCAAGTGTTCAAAGTAATAAAGATCTCGTTGACAGCAGTAGAAGCAGTGACCACAGTATGAAAGTAAAGCTCTTCGATGACAATGACGTTATTACTAAGAAGCTTTCACTAAAATCTATTGAATCCAATTTCGAAAAAGAAATTTTAGAAAAGATGAAAGAAGCTCCAAAAGAGGTCAGGATCGAAATAAAATCGTCTGCTGCCAAGACCTTCTCCAGCCAAATGGATGTCTTTACCTCATTAAAATCTTCAGATACCAAGAAATCCGAAATGATCGAATCGTCAGAAATATCCACCAGTAGGAGATCAGAGGGGGAGGGTGGTATGTTATAACTATTGGAAATGCATCCTGCTTTCAGTGTCTAAAAAGCATTGAGAAGTTTATGTTTGCATGGCTATTCTGTTTTATCCATTTTCGCTCTTGCTTGCACATGTCTGGCCAAATGTCCCCGTTGATATCCTCGAATTTCCCAGTGTTTCTCCTTTCTTTTGTTTTTTTCTCTGACAATAATTTTTTTTTGTTTTTGACTTGCTTTTTTGCCGTGCACTTACATCATCACAACAGGATAGGCGGCAATGTCTCGCACATCAATAGGTATTTGACTTTCAAGCTTCGTCTTTTACCTGAAAAAATATGCCATATTTAACCTAGTTAAAACATCCCCATTCCATGTTTATTTTCTTTTTGGTTGTGAATTTTTCTTTTTAATTTTTGGTGCTGCGATTTTCGTGCTGTATTCGTATGTATGCAATTATATCAACGTAGATGTTGGAACACGCGAGAGTACAAGTTGATGATAACTAATCTGCAATTTCTCCCGCATTAAAAATATATTTTTGCACCTTATTTTTCATTACCGTTTCGAGTTCACTTATTTTAAACGCCACCAAATTATTAAGTATTATCCTAGGGATATCCCATGTAGATTTTTTCCAATCTGTATAATAAATAAAAGGCTTAAATATGTATTGTCATCATCAGCACAAAATGTTTTTTTTCTCACGTCACCAAAAATCAGAAAAATAGGAAATTATTTTGAATATGTAATTTTGAAAAGAAAATATGTATTTATAATATTTATATCATTTGGTAATAAGCTTTGTAACCAGAAATTTAAGTGATAATAATTTCTATCTTCTTGTGAAGTACTAAGCTAAATTAAGAAATAAAACTATTTTATATAATTTTTATAAAAATTAAATTACAGCTTCGCAATAGAAATGTTTTAAATTCTCAACAAGGGATGCGTTTCACGTAAAATGTTAACATTAAGGCTGAAAGTGAAAAAAAAAATTCAGTATTTGCATTATGGGATAAAGGTGAATTTATGTTTACAATAAAAAAAAAAAATATGTTTAGTACAAAATTCAGTCTATCTGTTATTGCTGCTTCGGCTACTAATGTTTGGCTACCATCCTTAAAGTAACAATGGCCTACCATGATTTCCAATCCACATAGCAGGACAGTTTTCGATTTTTATTATAGGTTTAGTTTTCTTGTATAGTAAAGTATATTCATAACCCTGCGTTCCATAAGCTTCGAGGTACGTACACACACACACACACACACACACGAATACTAAAGCTTATATCACTTAGACAGACGCCCTCAAGTATGACATTTCCGGTTATGCTGTGATGTATAAAAAGTCTATTAACAAATTCTTTTTGAAAATATTACTATTTTAAAAAGCTTCAGCCACTTTAACGAGATTTCACAATTTTTGTGCGAGAACATTAAATGTTACTTGACTGAAAACCTTTGTCAAGAAGAATTCGTTAAATACGATCCATTTTATTGAGAGTCGTTTGCAACATACTTTTCTTTCATTGAAGGATACTGATTAAGCTTTCGTTATTAACCTGTAGTTTGAAAATATTTAAAATGATTTGAATACGTGAAGATCTAAATTATCTGTCAGAAAGACAAAAATTCTTGCCTCTTTGACATTAGTATAACATTATTCAACATAAAACACTGTTAAACAAGGATATATACATATGAAGTTTCGAGATGTAATATTTGTTGATAGCATTGGACGTGTTATATAAATAGGTAAACCTAGGTGTTGGTGTGAAGGTGCAAATCTTTGTACAACCTCGGATTCTGGTCCAGGAAACGATAAATTCAACAAAATCAACGACAAAAAAGAAAAATGTTATTCAACCTGTATGTTTCATCCAAACCAAATGCTATTAAATAGTGGTTTATTTAGTAGATATTATAGACGTAGCGTTTTGTAAGCAATAAAAAAAATATTGATTACTTAAGGCCAAATAATTTATACAATAAAATGAAAAACAGTTTGTTTTTTTTTAATCTACAATCTATGAAAATACAATCGCTAAAGAAATTCAAGATTGAACTTAATTTATGATCCTAAAAGTAGTCAAATAGCCAGACGTGGATTGCCATATTCAACCGTTGGAATGGTTTGCTTACATAATTAATACGTCTGAAGAAAATTTACACATTTTTGGACTAATTAAAATTATACTTGTAAGGAAGTATTGATATTATTTGAAATACATCATGTCAAAGCTTGAATCATGTACAAATGCTTGGTTCAAATAAATACTGAAATCAGCGGAATTTATATAGCTTTAGTTAAATTAGCGTCTATATTAATTTCATAATAATAATGATCATACAACAATACAAATACGTTTGAAGCATCGGAAATAGCACTGTTTTATTTCATACGGATATCTCTGTATATGTATGTAGTAACATAGCGATGTGTCATTATATTATGATGTCATTATATATATATATATATATATCCTTGTTTAAGCATGCATATATGAGCTTGCTCATCTGTATTCACGTAGAAATAAATATACAGACATGCATGTACATACATTAACTGGAATTTTTTATATCACCAATTCACTATATATAGATCATTCCCGTTTTGCACTTACTTTCGGGTCTTGGACGCAATCATTTCTTTATCTTAAAAAATACTTTTAAACTATCAATACTCCAAAGTTCTATTTCCAGTACGAAAATGCATCTCAAAGAAAGTCACATTTAGCCTTACTTTATTCATATTTTATACTAATTATTGGATTTTGATGTTTTTCTTTTTGTTTTACGCTTTCAAATGTCTTAATGGTATGAAAAATATTGTTTTCCATCCACACCGTATTTACAAATTTGCTGATTATGATGGCTGAAAAATATATTTATTCATAAGCACATTATTCATTATATTTACACTACATATTCAAGAGAATAATTTATGAAGCAATGATTAGAATTAATGAATTCTGTTAAATTATTTGTACTCTTAACAAATGCATATTTCTCTATTAGATATTATGAAATTTGCTTCCGAAAAAGTCTGTTCTTTATTTTACGTTCTGGATTCGGATATATTTAGTTATTATTTAAATATATATACATCATTAGAAATAAATTAGACTAAAAAATGTTAATTAACAAAAGCATAGTGGAAACATTGCAATTCTGTATATACGTTATTAAAATATAATTTTATTATTACAATAGAGAATAGGAAATATGGGAGTTTTATGGAATTACCATGCTGTTTTATGTTGAATTCTAACTTTATATAATGAAAAGGAGTGAAGAAATGAAGTTTACATTGATTTGTTCAAACACTTTGAACATATTTCAAAGGAATCTGTTTTTGGGTTTGTTTTTTTTATTTTCAGTGATTAAATTTACTCTATAAGAAAATATGCATATTTGTAAATCAGGTAATTTTCTAGAGAATTAATGTTGAAAGCCGAAATAAATTTACAAAAATAAGACTAGAGATAGAATTAGTAATTAATATCGCATGGATATCTATTTCAATATTTGATGGTATATCTGAAGCTATTTACAAAACATAAGACAATAACAGCGTCGCTTTAACATTCGCAACAATTTTAACTAATCATCTTTGCATCTGTTATAGGACACACACACTGGAATTAACAATAACACGTGCACATAGAATCAAACACATTCCCCATATATATATATATATATATATATATATATATATATATATATATATAAACTTTCTCTGTATTTACATACAACTTGTGTGTTTCCTCCCGTATTCCAACTGCTACATGATTTAGATCACATGCCTGCAAAGGATTTTTTTTATTTAGATTTTTAGTAATTATTTCTATGTATAAACATAGAATGCATATATATTTATAAGTTTTCTTGACCAAGAAGCGGAACCAAACAGGTAAACGAAAGAAAAATGTACAAATGTACAACAGGTAAATTACACATAAGAAAAAGTAAAAAGCACAAAACAGGTGAAGACCAACTGCTGAAATGGACACAGATCTTTAAGCTATATAGGTAAGCACAGGTAATGCAGGTATTTTAAGTCTGTTTTTCTCATTACTCTGGAGAGATAGAGAACGAAAGTGAAAGAAAGAAAGGAAGGAAGGAAGGAAGGAAGGAAGGAAGGAAGGAAGGAAGGAAGGAAGGAATACTTAACGCCGACGAATAAATAAAAATGAATACTAATTCTAACCGTGCGCAACATGGGATCAGATAAGAGTATTTTTTCTTTTATTTTTCTTTGATTGTTTGTTTGTGCCAACAGAATTGGGATGAAGCAGATAGTGGAACAAGTTGTCGGAGCCAGACCTAACGAGGCAGAGGTGCTGTCTACGATACTGAACAGGTCGGAGGGCGGCTATGAAGCCACAGGTGGTGCGTATTAGAAAACAAAAAATGTCTACCCTAAATCAATGTGGACGTGTCGGTGATAAAAGCATATCATTGAGTGTACATTAAAATACGAAGTCATAATTACACACAGAGGTATGCATATATACATCATATACAAGAGTCACGTCGCTATTTCTACTGAAATGTGTAATTTTATAAACATCAGATATATACATACATATAACATATATTCATGTAAATATGTATTTACATATGTGAATGCATTATATATAAATAACTATGAACATATTTATATAATCTTATATATGGTATATAAACACACAAACATACACACACGCACACACACACACACACACACACACACACACACACACACATATATATATATATATATATATATATATATATATATATATATATATATATATATATGTGTGTGTGTGTGTGTGTGTGTTTGGATGGAATGAATCATATCATCCTATAGGAAAGTATATGTACTTATATATGCGTCTTCTATTTATATGCTTCTTCTTTATATACCGCCTGCGTCAGTATACATAACTATGGCAATCAGCATGTTTGCACACACATGCCCATAAATACGCACGTACACAAAAATGTGTATGTGTATGGTTGTATCTGTGCGTGTTTATATATATATATATATATATATATATATATATATATATATATATATCTGTTTGTGTGTGTGAGTGTGTGTGCGCGTATATATTATCGTGTGTGCAAATTTATTTTACCGGAGATTTTATATTTTCTGACCAAAGAGAGATAAGAAAATTACAGATGAAAAAAGATTGTAAAAATTAATCATCGTCCAATATTTTACATCAGAAGATCCTGGCTTTCTAAAAGATGGAGTTTTGTTTTTAAAAGAAAATTTTTTACTAACACCTTTCTCTTTCTATCTCTGTCTCTCGGTGTGATATTTCTATAACAAAAACAAAGAATTACTTAAATCTAACCTTTTTTTTAATTCTTCTATTAAACATTTGAGATTAAAAATTGACCGATCGATGCATCTGTTTAATTTGATCATTTTTACTAAGAATTTTAAATGATATCTATGTGTATATATTTATATATTCATCTTGCTAACCCTCATTATTTTGTTATTGTCTAAAGACTATATCTTTCAAAATAATTTATTTATGGATTCGTTTTCATTTTATATATATATATATATATATATATATATATATATATATATATTCATTGAATTACTAGTCATTCGCACACTGGCTTCCACAATAGAAAAAGCTTATTTCTTTTACATATTCTGCATATACTTTTAAACCAATCAAAATTTTTGCATGTTTTCTGCCATTTCTTTTCGGGATAAATTTGTGCACGTTACTCTTACTCTTTGTCAATCTTGTTTACTTATCTGTACCTTTCTTTCAACTTAATAATTTGTCTCTACTGACCTATCACTTGTAATTATCATATACTTTTATCATAATTAATAATGCTCATGTCTCGTATTTGCAAAGATTGATGAAAGCGCCCTGCTCTGACAACCTAAACGTATTACATGTTTCAGGAATAACTACTACTACTACTACTACTACTTCGACTCAGGAACGTCGAACAATGAGCGAGGAGAAAAAGTCCATCGGTTCAGCGGATTAGAAGCCCCAAAAACATTTGGCAAAACATTTCAGAAAAAAGCAAGAGAGAGAGAAAAAAATGACTGACAATATAAACCTTTCTTGTGGACAATATTTACTTTAAGCAACAACTTCTATTATTACTACTATTACTACTTACTACTACTACTACTACTACAAAAGATTGGAATATGTGAAAAAAAAAACATTACGCGACCGCAATGAACATTATCAACAATTAATGGCAATCATTTAATAATTTTGCCAAAGCTGAAAAATGTTTTCTTTATCTAGTAAAAACCACTTGTTCAATGTATACCGCTTTCTCAATGGGACTGTAGATATCTGCATGCCAATATATATCAGTCAGCAGCATATGCGAAATTTAAAACAATAAAAGTAACAAAAATTATGAATTCTTATACTCATTTTATTCGAACTGATTTTTAATTTTAGTTAAAAAAATACTGAATTAAAATGATTTGCACGCATACATCTATATATTCGCATCTCTCTCTCTCTATATAATATATATATATATATATATATATATATATATATATATATATATATATATATACCGAACGCCACACACATACACATATAAAAACAAAATTAGTGCCAAGTATTAAAACAAACTTTTCCACAAAAGCCTTGCAAAATGTTTAAGCCTTGTTTAAACTAAGCTCAAAATATCTCATGCACACTCACACACACACATCTATGTGTACATATATATAATGTATGTGTGCGTGTGTGTTTGAAATTCATATATATATATATATATATATATATATATATATATAGTGACGTGATTGTTTTCATCCATAGTGAGAGAAAATAATTGGTCAAAATAAAAATAACGAAACAAAGTAAAATAAGGTAATCACATATCTCGCCTAGTTTTTAACATGGCTACTTGCATTTACAAAAGCAGAGACTAGCTTTCGTTTTGTTTTATAACATCTCGACCAAATAAATATACAGGTATATGCTTGAAATCAATGCTCACTTCAGTGCATTAAAGAAATACGGAAACTGCGAGGTAAATTCGATAGATCGAAAGATTAATTATTAAGCAACACGCAAATAACACTTGTGTATATCTATATGTGTATACAAAATAATTACTATAATATATAAATGAGCAATATATATATATATATATATATATATATATATATATATATATGACGTGTTGCTTGTTTTGCTTGGCATAAACATCGCCTTTAGAGGCAAATGTCTAAATGAAATTCACCACAAAATATCACCTTTTCGAATTAATTTTTTCAATATGCCCTCCACCCTTGCAAGGAAAATGAGCCAAATCTCACCATGAAGAACCTTAGTTTTGATATTGTAAGCTAAAATGCAAACATTATTTCATCTCCTTCAACCCCGTCAGCTTTTTGTACGCTAAACATGTCCTGCTCTGTTTTGCCACTTTTGACTTTTCATTGTTGAAACATTTTCGAATGGATTTTTAAAATTTTTAGCCCAACTTTAAAACATTATTGGTGGTAGAGAAAAAGAAAGATGACAAGGAAGAAAGAAGGAAAGAATGAAAGTTGTAAAACAATAATTCTAAATCCTTATTGTTCATAAAATAATGAAAAATTATCAAAAAAGAGTAAACACACAAAAAGTAAGCAAATTGTGCATTTTTGTACAATTTGACCTTCAAAAAGTAAAATAATAACGAATTGAATGAAGAGAGAAAAGAGAGAAAAAGAGATTAAGATCAAAAAGAAATTTTCTTATAAATAGAAACAAGCATTTAAATTGGCGTGGACGTTTCTGAATGACAAAACAAAAAATTTATTCTAAGGATACAAATTTTCTATGATGACAGAAATGTGTTCACAAACACTACATTATTTCATCACTTTGCCTTAACAGTAATTCACGCCTTTGCTACTACATTTAATGATCTAAAAGATTAACAAAAACAATTTTAAGTAATAGGAATTATATATTTTTTGAACAAAGAAAAATATCCCAGTAATTTTAGCTGAATTGATAAAACACTAATAAAAATACTTAGCAGAATTATAAGTAAATGAAATGAAAATCCGAAACCACAATTTTTAAAACATTTAAGTAATCTTGACGTGCTTTCAAAAAAGTCATTTGTTGACTTTACACCGGCTGTGACATTAATCAGTGATTGTAAATGACATCCGGGCTTTATCCACAAATGAACAGCACCGGTATGAACTACACCATTTTGTTACGAAAGTCTTTCTGCATGTTTTTTTTTTTTTTTTGTGAAATTCACGTCTATACCTATTACCGATCCGAACTATCGAGTTACCTCCCCCCTCTATCTCTCCACGGCTTTGCTGCGGGGCTATGGAGCTAAAAGTGTAAGCAGCACTTGTTATAATAAAATATTTCACCGCAAAACTGATATACTCCAAGTTCTCGATCTCTTAACGTTTTTGTTAACCCCATCTCCGTTTTCGCTTCTCTTTTTTATTTCATTTTGCTTACTAACCTTAATTTTGCTTGCTTCTAATCGTTGGCATGGTGTTAGTAACAACAAACCTTTCTGATCTTTCAAACTTGCCCAAACACTGGCAGCTTCTTTTCTTTATTAAGAATAAAACATTGCTAAAATAAAATTCCCTATTACCTTTAAGATAACTGCTTTAATTGAATTAATCCAGAAACATGTTTTGCTTTTCTTTAAAAATTATTTGCTTCTTAATTATCTGCAGCAGATTCAAAACATTGATATTTTTAAAACTGTACCACGTATTAGAACAAGCAAGCTCTTTGGGTTAAAAAATATCTTTCATTTAAGGGAAACAAACATGGAATGTTTTGAATTTCTTTATTTCTTTAAACGTAGTTTTCAATTATTCACTGACCAGTTCTTATTTCTTCAGTTAAAAATCTTTCCAATAGTGTCAGTCCAATTAGAAGACAAAACATTTTGATCTTAGCTTTACATGGAAATTGTAGAATAATGTGTAAAATACTTGTAACTTCCTGGCCAAATTTTAGCGTTTCAACGTAAATAATTAAATGTAAGTAAAACAAAAAAAAAAAACAGAAGTTTTTAATATTTCAAAATGTTTTAACTCATGTTTACAAGTTAACATTTTTTGTTTTTGTTTTGTCAATGCGCTATTTCAAAATTTTTGTCGGAAGCCATTATCCTGTCTTGCAACTAATCTTGCTCATTTTCTTAACTGATTTTTTCTCAACACATTTTTCTTTTTCTTTTTGCTTATTGTTTCTTAATATTTCATTTCTGATAACGCATTTGCCGAGCAAATTTTGATAATTGATTTGGTCTCTCAATGTGGGCTCACACTCTTAGGAAAGACACCAGAATTAAATAGTCAGTCAGATATAGGTCAGTGGTTATAGTAGCATCGATATTTT